GGGGGGGGATATGGGGTACAACAGGGCGCTATGGGGGCATATGGGGGGCTATGAGGGGATATGGGGTGGTTATGGGGTGCTATGGGGGGATACCGGGGCCATGGGGTGGTTATGGGGCACTTGTGGGGCAGGGAGGACCACTTATGGGGCACTGGTGACCACTTATGGGGCACTTGTGGGGCAGCTCACCCGGAAGAGCTCCTTGAGGTCGTAGAACTGCCCATGGATGTCCCCGCACACCTGTGGGGCGCAGACCCACGGCTGCCCCATAGATTCCCAGCCCTGCCCCATAGATTCCTCCCAAATCCAATTCCTGCCCCACATCTCCCCGCCCGCCCCACATCCCCCCCCATCCCACCCCATAGGTGCCCCTCACGCCCCACATCTCCCCCCTCTATCCCACCCCACATCTCCCCCCCCCCACACCGCCCATCTCCCCCCATCCCGCCCCATAGATGCCCCCCCACCCCCCATCTCCCCCCCGCTCACAGTGACAGGCGAGTCGACGCGCTGCACGTTGCTCTCCTCCACCAGGATCTCCCTGCAATGGCAGCGCCGTTCATCACCCCCTCATTAACACCCCCCTTCATTAACACCCACCTTCATTAACACCCCCCTTCATTAGACCCCCCCCCCCCCGTTAATTAGCGCTAATGACGGACCTGGCCTTGGCACACAGCGCCTTCACTTCGCTCTCCCTGATCAGCTCACAGCGCCGCAGCTGCTCGATCTGCCGGTCCAGGTCGCTCGGCTCCCCCATGGCTGCCGGCCCCATAGAGACACATAGAGACCCATAGAGACCCATAGGGACCCATAGGGACCCATAGAAACCCCATAGGGACCCATAGGGACCCATAGGGACCCCATAGGGACCCCATAGAAACCCCATAGGGACCCCATAAAAACCCCATAAGGACCCATAGAAACCCCATAATAACCCCATAGAAACCCCATAGGGACCCACAGAAACCCCATAAGGACCCCATAGGGACCCATAGAAACCCCATAGAAACCCCATAGAAACCCCATAGAAACCCCATAGGGACCCATAGGGACCCACTGAGACCCATAGAGACCCCATAGAGACCCCATAAGGACCCATAGAAACCCCATAGAAACCCCATAGGGACCCATAGAAACCCCATAAGGACCCCATAGGGACCCATAGGGACCCCATAAGGACCCCATAAGGACCCATAGAAACCCCATAGGAACCCATAGGGACCCTATAAGGACCCATAGGGACCCCATAAAAACCCCATAAGGACCCATAGAAACCCCATAAGGACCCCATAGGGACCCACAGACCCATAGGGACCCATAGAAACCCCATAAGGACCCCATAGAAACCCCATAGGGACCCACAGACCCATAGGGACCCATAGAAACCCCATAGGGACCCCATAGGGACCCATAGAAACCCCATAGGGACCCACTGAGACCCATAGAGACCCATAGGGACCCCATAGGGGCCCATAGAAACCCCATAGAAACCCTATAGAAACCCCATAGGGACCCATAGGGACCCCATAGGGACCCATAGAAACCCCATAAGGACCCCATAGGGACCCATAGGGACCCCATAAGGACCCCATAAGGACCCATAGAAACCCCATAGGAACCCATAGGGACCCTATAAGGACCCATAGGGACCCCATAAAAACCCCATAAGGACCCATAGAAACCCCATAAGGACCCCATAGGGACCCACAGACCCATAGGGACCCATAGAAACCCCATA